TCTCTCCTCTCTCTCTCACCTCCTCTCTTCTCCCTCTCTCATCCCTCTTCTTCTCTCTCTCCATACTCGGTCATTTCCTCTCTCGTCGTCTGCACCTCTCTACTCCTCTCTCTCCCTCTCTCTCATCGCTTCTCATCCCTAAGTGGCTGAAAGCGGGGAAGCTCTCTCTCTCTCCCTTCGATGGATTAATCATAGCTACGAGTAACGCGACAGACAATAGGACCCTCTCTCTCTCTCTCTCCCTCTCTTCTCTCCTCTTCGTCTCTCTCTTCCCTCTTCTCTCATCTCCTCTCATCTTCTCCTCCCTCTCTCTCTCCTCTCTTCTCCTCATCCTCCTCTCTCCCTCTCTCTCTCCCTCCTTCCTCTTCCCCTCTTCCTCCTCTCTCTCTACCCTCTCCTGTCCCTTTCCTCTCGGCATCAGTCTTACTCATCTCTCTCCGGTCCACCTCCTCCGCCTTCCTCTACTTTCTCTCCCTACGATCTTTCGCCATGTCGATTCTCCTCGTCATCTCCATCCCCCCTCATCCCTCTCTCATTCTTCTCCTCTCTCTCCCTCTCTCTCTCCTCCCTCCTCTCTCCTCTCCTCCTTCTCTCCCTCTCTCTCTCTCCTCTCTCTCTCCCTCCTCTCTCCTCCTCTCTCCTCTCTCCCTCCCTCTCTCCCTCTCTCTCCCTCCCTCCTCCCTCTCCTTCCCCTCTCTCTCCTCCTCTCCTCTCCCTCCATCTCTCCTCTCTCTCTCCTCTCTCCTCTCATTCTCTCTCCCTCTCTCTCTCTTCTTCTCCCTCTCTCTCTCTACTCTTCCTGTCTCTCTCCTCTCTCTCTCCCTCTCTCTCCCTCCTCCCTCTCTCTCTCCTCTCTCTCCCTCCTCTCCTCTCTCCTCTTCATCCCTCCTCTCTCCTCTTCTCTCCCCTCTCTCTCCCCTCTCCTTCTCTCCCTCCCTCTCTCCTCCCTCCTCCCCTCTCCCTCCTCTCCCTGCTGTCTCTCCTCCTTCTGTTCTTCCTCCTTCTCTCCCTCTCGAGAGAGGGAGAGAGAGAGGGAGAGAGAGAGGGAGAGAGAGAGGGAGAGAGAGAGGGAGAGAGAGAGAAGACACCACATGAAAATTAAGATATTCAGGAAACGAAGATATTTCAACAGTGGTCAATGTGATGGCTGACAGATCTACCTATAATTTTACTGAAGTGTAAGGATTATATATTTTTTGCAACTGAAACTACAAACACAAATTCATGACAATATAGCAGCCCAAGGCCAAACCATCAATCCTATTCTTTACATATTAATAAAAATTATGTTAATACAAGCCAACCAATTGGAGATCCCAAATATGTAATTCAGCACTATAATTATTACTCCGAAAATATCCTCTTACAATCAAAAACTTATTTGAAATGCATACTAATTCATACAACATTAAAGAAACAATAAACCAAAACAGAATATATTTACCCAATGAAAAGTATTTAAAATATTAGCAATAAAATGTTAATCTACTCATAAAACCAATAGAATAATTGCTTTTAACAACAAATACATATATCACAGAAAAAAAAATCTTTATAAAGTTTTCAAAATAATAGTTACTACACCTACATAAACTCACAACATGAACTAACCAAGATCTGCCATGTCAATATCATTTTTCATTGGAAATTATGGTAAAAATTTTAGTTCTAAAAGAGAAGTGGGTAAAGATAGACAATATGCAATTTTTCAGGAAATAAGCAATGGTTTTATTCTTAGCCAGAAAACCAGATAGAAAATTTTTCAATGAATCTCTTCAATGAATAAATAATTAATAGCATCATGATGTTTAAACATGATGCATTTTCCCAAACAATTTCTATTCCATCATTTGGGTTATTATCATTCAAGTTATTAGTTACACACATGCACATTTAAGTACCAATATACATGCTTGCTTATACATTTACCCTCAACAAATACACATTCAAACATATACATACATTTACACACATTTCCAAGCTAGTTGTAACTTTCATCTCCATTCTAAGCAACACATAAAATTTTCATTTACAATTTATATAAAAAAATGAACACTCCTTAAATATAATACAGCTTAGAATATAATTTACTGAACAAATTACATTTCCCTAAGCCCCAATTTCCCAACACCTAAGATAAACAATTCTATCAAATCTTACTTAAACCCATTCTACATTAAACTCTAATCTGAACACTGAATTTACATGTCATGTTGATCTTGTCCTCAAATTAAAATATTTTGGAGAATTGTGAGGGTATGTCAATAAGGCATTTTTTGTAGTGTCAACATTTTGGTCCTTTATTTGACCTGCTTCAGAGCTCTAGTATTAATATTGCATTAATGAACATCTGATTATCACATGTTCCACATGCTTCCATCCTTCCATCATGCAATGTAATTCCACAGCCCTGAACCAGGCCAAATAAATAGCCAAAATGTTGGCACTGAAGAAAAAGAAAAGGCCTTATCCCCACAGTTCTCCAAAATTATGATATTGTATGATATCCTTTTTGTTATTATAGACAGAGGCAGAAATACTTTATTTATTTGCATGTATGGGAGTAGCATACTTCAGGTGTTAACCAAACAATATGAATATAAAAAACAAATTCCTCATTTAAAACAAAAAATTCAATAAAATAGCGAAGCAAATCACTGCTTACGACAGATCAAGTCAGACTGTCTACATCAACTTAATGGTCTTTATTTGTTTTAAATGAGAATTTCAATTTTCATATTCACACTGACATCCGAAGAGGCGTATAAATTTTGACATGGACCATTGTTGTAAGTAACTTCAATATGAGCAAATAAAAGTGGAATATTTCTATGTCTGTCCATAAAACAAAAATATTACTATACAATATCATATTAAGAGAAGACAATCATTGCTGGTTATTATCGTAACCAGAATTCTTTAACAACTTGGTAATCTGAACAATTTCAAAGACAATACTAGGGCAGAAATTATCAAAGTCATTGCTTTATACAATTTCTGTGTGATACACCAATTTAATCTCCTTTATAATAGTCTGAATTAAGAGGTTCTGTGGTTTGAATCTATAAGCATATACATACAGAAGCTTATGATAAACTTAAAATGGCCAAAGAAGTGACTCGTTGCTTCTGAATTTAATTGGTGAATAACATTTTTAATACTTTTACCAGATTATATTTTATTTATTTATAACAATGCCATAATTCAGGACACTTCTAGTAAATTAGTAATTTACCTCAATTAATTTTCCTTTACCACAATAATTACAAAATCATTTTAAATGAAAATTATTTTAAAACATTAATGAACTTTTTTAAAAAATGTCTTATTTCTAATAAGTTTCCAGATATACGTTGAAACATTCTCTAATCTTGATACAATTGTCTTCACTCAATGCACAAGCTAACAAATGGATGGACATAATTTATTTTAACAATTGAAACTAGAATAAACTACGTAAGAATAATATTATAACATATCCTTAAAGTATTATCAAAAGGGAGAAAGAAATTAATATTAGCACAAAATTAATAATCATAATTTAACTAAATCCTACATGTACCAAAAATTGAAACTATTAGTCTTTTTTGTTCATGTTTTCAATTAAATAATTTTCTTTTCAGAATTGCTCAATCAATAGTACCAAAACTTGTTTTAAAATTTTGAAAATTCCAAAACGAGAGCTTGTAATTTTGTTCTAAAACAAGAAAACTTGTGTATTATCAAAAATTATTGCTTGCTACTGTAAAGCAGAAATTTCGATAATAAAATTGTGTCCTGAAGTTCACAAGAGATTTATAATAATTTATATCAATTAGATCATAATTTTTTTTTAAATTGTCAATCTTGTTTCCTAGGTATACCCATGACAAAATCTATATGAACAGAGAATACACATCAGAATAATGAAACTAGTGTCTATACGACAAACTTCCATGTCCATGACCAATGGAAATTTATTCACCTTGAACAGTTACACAAGGCCTTTCAATACACTCAACTTTTGAGCAATTACAAGACACTTGCTGGTTTTGTATGTGTATGTGTATTCATCCACAATCGACTAATGCTGTCAAAGTATAATTCCTGCAGCTTGTTCTCAGAGTAACTTGTCACTGATCACAATGGACACACATTAAACAAAAATTCTCCATTTCAAATTATTTTAGCATCTTCAAAATACCAATATGAAGCATTTTACTAATTTTACTAGAAGGCTGGTCAAATCTATTCAATGCTCCTCACAATATCACAGATTATGGCTGCTTTTTCAACCAAATTAATTGCTCCAACAGTGTTAAAAATCTATATAACAATATTGCTATAAAATATGTCACTATAAAGCACTTATTAAGCCATTTTACTAAAATAATTGAAGTTAAGACCATGGTAAATGTTCATGTTAAAGTAATAACTTGTTGTCTTGAAAAGCACTGTATCGAAATGCACAATATAAAAACAATGACATTAACCCAAGCTTACTAAGAAGGAAACTGTTTTAAATTTTTAGCTGTACAACTTACCTGTTGATTCTATAATATCATAACATTTAAATAAACAAAAAATTTCAATGCTTCTGAATAAACTAAATGTCACAAGCATAGACAGGTTAAAGTTACTTCGGTTAAGGTAGAGTTTAATTACTAGCATTTACATCATGGTACCGCACACGAAAGTATTACACATATTCCTCATTATTTACATGTATTGTACACAAAACACCAATACAGTACACGCAAGACAACGAAAGTAATCTACAGCACAAGAACCGGCTGTCACCAATTCAGGTTAAACATTACCTTTCAGACGTTTGTGCCTATATTTTCTAATGATTAAACTTTAAAGAACGTTCTACCATGCTCACGATAAGATACATGAAAATAAATATTACCTCCTGTTTTACTTAATCGAGAAGAAAATTCTTCCAAAAAATGGCTGAAGACCACACCTCACCACGATGTGGTGGGGGACTGATGCCGAACTACTACTCTCGAAAAAAAGATTACGTCGACGTCTATTCTTGCGCGACCGAGCACCAGTCGGGCAGAAAACGTTAACAACTGAAGTTAATACACGTTTTGACTTTTATTTTAGGAGAAAATAAATAATGCAATACATTTCTTCTAAGGAATGCAACACATATTCATGGACGACAAATCCAACGACAGAAGCTGGACAGAATGGTGCAATGGAGAGCGCTCGAGATCGACATAGAGAACTAATTATGTTCTGTAGTCACTTTTATGGTACATTCACTCGTTTTACCGTTTAGTTTGATTGTGAATATTTAAAAAAATTAAGTTCCTGAAGAAAACAGTTACTAAAATAAATATATATTTATTCAAGAAATTACTCACACTCAACATTTTTATTATGGCGAGAACACAATTAAAATAGCAAGAAATTGTCTCATCGTCTGAAGAATTTACATAAAAGTGTATTTTAAACATAAATTATCTCTTTAGAAAATGATACTGAATATCACTTCTCACACTAGTTGTAAGGTTTAAAATAACTACCAAAGGAACACCTTCAGATCGATTTCTCTTTCCGCGGACCCGCAAAATTCAAAACGAAGTTACTATAGTACATAACATTAGCAATTTCACAAGTAAAAGTATTAGGAATTTCGTGAGAGTGTTTCAGATTACATAATTGAGTATTGCATTACCACTATTTTATTTTTTTAATAGAAAAAAATTTCAAAGATTAGGTATTTAAATTTAATGTCTTTCAAATGAACATTCCTCTTATAATCTAATCCATAATAAGTTTGAGTAACCAAAACAATGAATTTATAATTGTTCCAAAAAATGGGGTGAGAAAAGGATAGTTCTATTTGAAAAACTAGTGGTGATAAAACAGCACGTACTTACTCAGCCGTACTTTCAAGCAAAATTATGATAAAAGTACTCAAATTTTCAAAAAATTGTACATGACCTTATTTCAAAATCAGTCTTTAAGAAACAGATTTCATTAAGGGGAAAATCTCTATCTTCATAATTCTAGTTGTAGGAAGACACAGAAAAAATCTTGAATTTTAAAATTTTCGAAAAATATAAGTTTTCAACAAACATAAGCACCATTCTCTTAAATGTCCTTCACACTATTCAACAACAAAATTTTATTAAAACAATGGAGCCATTTTTTAAAACATTTTGTTCTCAAACAATTGTCCCAGGGCTTCGTGTAAAGTACACCCCAAAACTAAAATATCGTATAATAAAAACAAAAATAAAAAATAGTGTTGTTCACAGACGGACGGGCAGACACCTTTTGCCGTCATTAGAATTTTTCAGTATCATGAACTCACAAAACATGTATTCTGGCTACAAAACGTGTTAGAGGATTTTTTCTAAATTTAACAATTGAATTTATCTACGTTTTCGTTACCAGGGCACTGTAATATAAGTTTTTGTGCTGAAAATTCGCCGTTTTTTCGCACAGCATTACATAATTTTCTCTCTGCACCGTAAAAATATTTTCGGATAATGATTGAAACGAATATAATATAATCGCGGCAAGAACTGAGTTTAGCCTGCGTCATTCTACATAATCTGTAATATGACACATTAGACCAAACCTTCTCTACTGCGTAAGGGGTAGCAAGAAAGTGAAAGCAAGTGTGCTAGTGATAATTGGACATAATGTGTGGTTTAAATAGTAATGTGTGGAGTCATTGAATTAATGATCACCATACATTCAGTACCTACTCATAATATGAGTCAAAAAAATATCACAAGTCATACAATCTTCAATTAATGTTTTAGAAGGTATGGGAGACTGGTTGGGACACCAGTTGGCAGCTTTTTTTTCTTTTATGCAATTATGGTTTAGTTGTGACAATGAATATATCAAAGGAAACTATATTTATTTGGCTACTTTGTTGTGTGTGTGTTTTATTATTTCTTTCTTTGCTCCATATTTGAGAGTTAAACTTCTAGTCATTAAAAATCATCACAACAAAATGTGCCAACTTGTAGGGTTGGTTGGCACAGGACTTGGGAAAAATGCTCAATGTTTTATTTACACAAAAAAAGCCAATAAATTTAATGCCATTTGGTCTTGCAGAACAGTTTCACATTCACAACCACAATAATCTTGGTAGTTTCAAAATTAAGTACTAAAAAATCAGTCTTTAAATTGCCTTAATCAGCCCTCTTTTGAACAAAAAATGCTTCTTTTCTTTTTTGAAACATTGAGTAAGTAATCTGATTTAATTATTTGAAATTTCTTGTTAAAGAGAACTTAAAGTTGCAATAGGTAAGGAGGGCAAAATTGCAGATTTTAACCCTAGAAACTCTTTAGAAAACTTAACGTCACTGGTTGGCAACAAAAAATTACAGCCCTTTGATGTTCGCTAGGTACAAGTCGACCTTGTCAAAGAAGGAACAACAGAAGAGAACCCCTTCTCTAGAGACAGGTTCCCACCAAGTCAACACCCTGATGAACCATGCACTTTTGTGGCTACCGCACAAAATGTGTAATTGGTCTCATATGTTCTGCCTGCTCATGCGGGAGACACTGCACAGTAAACCTTCTGTGTTGCTGTGCTGTGGGCTGAAGCATGGGTTCATAGTACAGCACCTAAATAAAAGTAAATTACCATGAACATATTAGTACTTTTAAGGACAACATTTCTGCTTTTGAAAATAAGACAGAAATTATCCATATTTTATCAAAATGATAGGTAATAGGGTACAATATTCAAGCACAAATTTTGATTTGAAAAATAGAAGTTGAAGACTTCTCACTGGCTTCAAACTCACACAACATGGAGCTTATGCCTCGTAGTGCTGAGGATTTAAACAAAGATAATTTCTTTTTCTTTAATTTGTATGTTAAGGATAAATTGATATTGGGTATATTATTGATAGTAGGCATTGCAATAAAGTAAGTTGAAGAGCACTTCTTTGAACTTTTTTGATCTCAGATATGTTTAGGGGCTAGAATATCCATTGGCTATTATTGTGTCGGGTATCTGACCACAACAAAAATTTTGCAATTTTTCAGCGGCCACTACTGAAACAAAACCAGGGTTTGAAAATAAATGAATACAAATAGAATTGGCTACTTTTAGGCAATGTATCTATTCAGAATGAGTAGATATTGTCCATTGAGTTTCACATAAGAAATTTAGAGCTGTAGCTCAAAAATCTTGAGAAAACAACAAAAATGTTTTTATCTGTGCCCAGGATTGGAGCTTTTACTGTAGGTGTGAATGATAATATTAGGAAAATAGTTTTATTTTGAGATCACGGACCTACCTTTGTTGCACTAATCTACCTGGGACATTTGTGGCTCATTAGGTGATTAAAGACATGTGATACAAAGGTGGGTCTTATGGAGTCTACCTAGCCAATATAAGAACATTGAGTACCAGTCAGTCCCTTGTGTGAACTACCCCTGGTCTGCCCTATTTATTATTAACATTTTCTCATTAGTATACAATTCCCATTGTTTGTAATTTGCTTCTAGAATGTACTTATGTGTCATTATAAATACACTATATAATGAAGGACGTAGCAGTATGAAGGTAGATTAAATAAAAATAAACTATCGAATTAATTTGAGTCACTACCTTTGACTTAAAAAAGCATTCTGATTTAGGATTCTAAATCAGGAATTGTGTAGCAGGCAGTACTTATCTGATTCCTGTAAAATAAATATTTCAAAGAGCCCGGTCTTAAAATGTCACAAATTATGCAAATCCTATGAAAGGCACACAAATTATAGAAACTAAAATAATATGCATTGCATATTCTGCAGCCAGAATTTGTATTATATAGGTTATCCAGGATAAGTCACATCTCTGTCATGGTGACTGACCAATTAATGTAGCATGGGATAACATTACAAGGATTGAAGCAATACCACAATTTCAAAAAATTTAAGTAGCGTTCTTGTACACAAAATATCTCTGCTGGCTGTGTTCCTATAGTTTCTATAGCTGCTTTACTCAGAAACATCATGTACAACTAATGTTTACATTCAGTTACAGTTGTAACCTAAAATGACTGTCTGAAGTGTTTTGTGATGCAACTGATTTTTGCAGTCAAAACTTCAAAAAATTGGCGTTAATCAAATTGAAATATACATCAGGCTCCAAAAAAAATGTAATCTGTATTATGTGAGGTAGGTAATATTCATCACAAGGAAATGATTATTTTAAAATTAAATACATGTATAGACTCGTAAATCACTTTACAGAGCCAGTTATGTCTAAACATGAGATTGTTGCTAAGCTTCCCACACCATCTCTAAAAAAGAAAGCATCTTTCAAAGTATGGAAGGTGTGACTTCATTACATTGAATAAACATTGTACCATTATGACTTATTAGGCACTGTATTGTGAAAATGATTGTGTAGTTTGATACACCAAAGCAGAACTTAAAAATAAACAAAGATATGGCAATATTACCTTTCTTTTATGCTTTTGATGGTATGTCATAACAAAGCTCATATTAACTCTATTAACTTTCCAAGCCAGTGTATCAGATATTATTTGAATATGGAACTAAAAATATTTTGTAGGTACTCTTGACAAATTCAATTAAGTTTCCACTACCAAGTTCAGATTCCAACAAAGTCTAAATGAATTTGAAAGTGATGTTTGTGGTTTATTAACAACAAAGAATTAGTTAATGAATGTGGTTAGAATTTATGGTTTTTTCTACTTGCATAGCCAATGTTATTAGATATTACAATTAGTATGATACCAATCACCCAATCCTGAGTTTTTGTTATTGCTAACAAGCAACTATGAAGATATTGTACACTCCTTATTTTGATATTAATAAATAATTTATAAAAGTTTATGCGACTTCAACTTGTGGCTCTGCGTAGATTTTGAAGCGAACAATTTAATAATAAGGAAACAGAATTTTTGACAACTTACTGCAAACCCAGCATTGAAATATTCCATTCACATTAAATAAATAGCTGTTCTTCGGTAGTACATACTTTGTCATACTATTGGTAATAATTACAAAATATTATAATGTCATCTATCGTATTAACATGAGCGCAAGCCATCGCTTGAAAAATGACATAACTCAAAATTACCGTATGTGAAAATTACTAATATTTTTAAAAAAGGATATGAAACAATTCAACAACCTAGATGGCCGAGGTGGCTAGAGCACATGCCAACTCAGCACCTTGGTCTGAAGGGTCATTGGTTGGAGTACCATCTTGGGCATGGTTGTTTCTTGTCGTTTATGCATGTGTGCTGTCATGGAAGGCCTTGTGAGCCTACTGACCAAAGCTTGAGGAGTCC